CTGATTAAAGAAATCACTTGGCTTTGAAGCAAAAACATGTCGATGTCCTCTTTAACATCCTTCCACATTTGCATACGTTTTCCCATTAAGATGGTGTTGCAGTGAATGAAAAAGATTGTAATCTGATAGTGCCATATCTGGAGGATATGGTGGATGGGGGAGAACTTCCCAACCCAACTCCATAATCTTGTGTTGCGTCAAACGTGCCACGTGTGAACGTGCATTGTCGTGGAGAAGAAGAATGCCTTTCCGATTGACGAGTGAAGGGCTTGATTTAAACGTTCCAGTTGCTGACTGTAGATCTCGTTATGGAGTTTTCCCATATGCCTTAGATGTTTACGTATTATTTCATGAGAGACATGCAATTTCAGGGCTATTTCACTGAGTGTATTGCCTTGGGTTAAACTCAACAATATCAATTCCAACATGTCGGCCCCTGCTATCACAGTTTTTAAATTTGTTGAACCATCGTTGACACTTACGAACGTTCAAAACATTTCCATAAACTTCTTTGATATTATTTGTGGCTACAGAGGCGTTGTTTTCCTTGTATTCAAACAGCATTGAATGCTGAATGTGTGTCTCGTCATGTGCCATCACTATAAGGGATTAGAGTATACTAAACTTTACACATTATATAGGCTACATTAACGTGACATTTAGGCGGTTCGTACGTTTTTTTTTTAGGGTGGTTAAGGAAAGTGTTCCAAAACGCAACATTAATTTGTTGACGACCTAATACGTGGACTCCACCGGTAAGGGCCAGGTGGTTGTGGGTTCAAATCCCCATCCCAACAAACATGCTCGCCCTTTCAGCCGTGGGGGTGTTATAATGCTATGGTCAATCCCACTATTCGTTGGTAAAATAGTAGTTCAAGAGTTGGTGGTGGGTGGTGATAACTAGCTGCCTTCCCTGTAGTCTTTCACTGCTAAATTAGGGATGGCTAGTGCAGATAACCCTCGTGTAGCTTTGCGCGAAATTCAAAACAATCCAAACCAAACTTCACTGGTAATATTAATGAAAATGTATTTTAATAAGTATTACATTATTAAAATAAATGTTTCACTGTGCGGGCTTGCTGTCTATTAGCACTTACAGTCAAATGGGCAATAGTTATGCCCAAAAATAAACTAAGGCATGATACAAAATCACGATCACCTAATGGCAGATTCCAAGGTAACGAAGCAGTTTTTTACCTAATTAAATAAAAGTGTTTAAGTTTGTACGTCTATTGAGCTCGTATCCATGTAGTATTTGGACTAAGATGAGCCCACACAACACACAAATTAACAAGGACCAGCAGCGCCATCTCTTGGCTTAAAACTAATCTAACACCAGTAATTCTTAACCGTCATGTAATACAAATTAACAAGAACTAGCAGCGCCATCTCTTGGCTTAAAACTAATCTAACACCAGTAATTCTTAACCGTCATGTAATACTTTGTAGAGAAAAAAAACTTTACCCACTAGATCATTAACTTGTTCTTTGGTGCTGGAAATTGATGGTTTTTATACTTTGTAATCAGAGGATTATCTAGAAACTTTAATCGAGTTTTAAAGCACAAACTGTGTAATATTAATATAATGCAACAACGACAAAATCGTAGTAGTTTTTGTCGTTCTGTGACCCATTCTTCCGTGTATTAGCCTGACATCAGAGGACCCTGCATTATATTCGTGTCTGTATATGCGCGTATGAAAGATTGGTTGTACTTTAAAACAAGAACATCCCACATTCGGTGCTTACCTTAGAACAACTTCATTCATGGTCAGTTATGCTCGTTCTAATGGTCATTATTACGTAACATGGGCGAATGTTGTTTGGTTTCTGTCTCTACCGCTTGTTTTATTGGACTTCCGAAAAACTGGGTTTCGATATCCGTGGTGGGCACAACACAGATAGCCCATTGTGTAGCTCTGTGTTTAACAACAAACAGACTATTATTTAATTCATATTTTAGTCCCCCGATGGAACATCAATAAGTTTACGAACTTACAACGCTAAAATCTGGGGTTCGATTCCCCGCGGTGGACACAGTAGATAAACTAATGTGGCTATGCTCTTAAAAACAAACAATACTTCAGAACTACGGCGACATCTAGTGTCGTATATCAGTGCAATGAATAGGAAGTGGAATCTATCTACTAGTTATTATTTGGTCAACATTCGAGAGTTTGTTAACTTATAAATGATCCTTGTTCTGAAGGAAGTTTTATCAAATGATACGAAATATGAATAACAAGATATAGCTGTACATGTAAAGTTTAGAAAATGATATAACAAGTAGTAACTGATTCGGTTTTACTTCCACATTTTACTAAATCACAGTTATGTAAAAAAAAAACAAGTTTAAGTATTAATAAGACGTCTCTAACGGATTATGTCTTATCTGAAATGTCCCTAAATAAGTTTAATTGTGAATAAAATTTAACATGCATGAGATGTGCCAGAAGGATTGTTCAAACGTTATGGGTTGGTTTAAACTTGTAAATAAACAATCTTCAAGAGTTGAAATTACCAGTGATGAGCAGTTTCTAAAAGTCAAAAATGCCAATGATGAACAGTGCCACAAATAAAGAATAATTCAAAGTCAACAGTGCTACAAATAATCAATCATTCAAAGTCAACAGTGCCACAAATATAATTATAATTCAAAGTCAACAGTGCTACAAATAATCAATCATTCAGAGTCAGTAATGCCACAAATATAATTATAATTCAAAGTCAATAATGCCACAAATATAATTATAATTCAAAGTCAACAGTGCACTGTTGACTTTGAATTATAATTATATTTGTGGCCTACAAATAATCAATCATTCAGAGTCAGTAATGCCACAAATATAATTATAATTCAAAGTCAACAGTGCCGCAAATATAATTATAATTCAAAGTCAACAGTGCCACAAATATAATTATAATTCAAAGTCAACAGTGCTACAAATAATCAATCATTCAGAGTCAGTAATGCCACACATAATCAATCATTCAGAGTCAGTAATGCCACAAATATAATTATAATTCAAAGTCAACAGTGCCACAAATAATCAATCATTCAGAGTCAACAATGCCACAAATATAATTATAATTCAAAGTCAACAGTCCTAATGATGAACAGTCATTATAAGACTAAATAAGCCAACTTTCTATTTCAGTCCAGAAGTCTCCATACCTTAAATCGACGGTTTATGTGTCGACGATTAGAAATCCTGTTGGATTTGTTCTTCGCTGATGTGATTTTTAAAACACCATTCTTGAATTAAGAAGTACGTATTTCAGCTCCCGAGCTTTACTCGCCACATTGGTCAATCTTCATTATTACGTGTCGCAGACGTTTCAACAACGTATATAATATAGCAGGAGTAATGGGGAATTTCAAAACTGACTCAGCTCGTGATTTATTATACAGGGTGTTCCAAAAGCAATAGGTCTGATTTTACAGCATGTATAGGTTTCCTGACAGCTTTGTTTGTTTTCTTAGAGCAAAGCCACATCGTGTCCACCACGGGGAATCGAACCCCCGAATTTTAGCGTTTAAAGTTCGTTAACTTACCGTTGTCACACTGGGGGGGGGGGCAGTTGTCTTCAGAGACATATATTTCATCATGGAACTTTTTGCTGGGGCCTTTCCTCCCCCCACTGACTGAAAAAAAAAGATAAAGATAATTTTTGTTGTGTCATAGTCCCTGCTGCTTTCGGTTTCGTCGAGATGACACGTAAGCTAGACGAAGGAAGCGATAAGCCAGTTCTACGTATTGCTGGACTGAACGATGACTCTCAGTTCTGAAATCCTTCAACGCTTACGTAATCAGAGAATCGTCGCGCGACTATTTAAAGACCGCGAAAGTTTATTATGCTTGTTTTATTGTTCTTTACATTATATATTATCTGGAGTACCCGTCCCCTGTAAATTCATGATTAATGAAAGGTTATCATAGGACACGAAAAGTTGCTTCTCTTATATGTAATTGTGAAAAACGCAAAACATAAAATGTTATCTCCGCGTGGACCTAACAAACCTCCATACCAAATTTGGTGAAGGTACATCTACAGGGGGAAAAGTTGTGGTTAAAAAAAAACAAACACGCAAAAACTGAAAATTTGTATGTAACCCCCTTCTACACTGCGAAGTAGTTACATGGACATACAACAGACAGTACTATTATATTTATATAGATAAATACAATACGTTTGTTTGTTTGTTGTTAAGCGCAAAGTTAGTCAATGGGTTATCTGTGCTGTGCCTACCACGGGTAATTGAAACCTGGCTTTTGAAGTTATAGTCCTTGAGACTCACCTCTACGTCACTTGGGAGAGGGGCTATACAATAGATCATCCGACCGTCGGTTTATTATCCGTATATATATATATATTTGTGTGTGTGTGTGTGTGTGTGTCTCGTAGAATTACCAGTGATCTAAAAGCTTAAAAAGTTCGATGATATTAGGTTAACCTTTGTGTGTGTTGTGTGTGGGGGGAGATAGGTAGCTGGTGTTGTGAAACTCTGCTATCTTTAGTCTGCTCCAATAAGTTGCTATGGTGACAAATTTTTCACTTTGTTGCTATGGTCACAAATCCATGCACGTGCCACTCAGACACGTGTTTATGTGGTTTACGTTATTCACAGGAAAGATGTGAATAAAGTTGATTTTTTCCAAGTATCCTCTTTATCTAAACACGTATTGCTACCAGTGCTAATGTATTCCCGGATACACTTCTCCATATCCGTTACCACTTCCTCCGTACGTTAATCTTTAATGAATACTTTCTTATCAATCTAGACACGCAAAGAAGAACAAGCTAGAAGTAAAACCCGGGGTCTCCCAATTTATCTGTTATCGCCTAAAATGTTCGTTAGTACAACAAGCAGGTCTGTACGTTTCGGCTCTTCATTTTCTCTATCTATGGTTAGCGAGTACGGGGTGTGAATTTTGGGTATACATGGTTCGCATCCCGCTGACAAAAAACAACCACATCGTTGTCCACAATTAGTGCCCATGAATGCGCTATAAGAGTGACAGTCAAATCCTACAATTCGCTCAGACGAGACTAACCCAAGAGCTGTCGGTGGGTGCTGTTCAAAATTATGCGCAGGTAACGTTCTAAACAAACAGACAGCATCTACTGATCGATCGTGACGTTATATTTATATATATAGGTTATTGTAAGTAAAATGTTATCAATATTATTCGATTGATTCACTCATTTAATATCTGCACGCTGTTCAACACGAGGAATCGAACCCCGGAGTTTAGAGTTGTAAGCCCTTAAGTTTATCGCTGATCCACTGTGGAGAGGAAGATAAGGCAACGCTTGGTAGTGAAGCCTGTGTTTTGAAAAAAGTTTTCATCATGAGCCATCGATTCACGAGTTGTTAATTTTCAACATTTGGGGGATACATTTTAAAATTTAAAAACAAAGAAAAATATTTATTTCTTAGGACTTGTTGGGTTTTATGCCCGACGTAGTGTGTTCCCATATTTACACATTTATATTTTCTGGATAGCAGCATTAACTTCAAGATTAATTACTTTGTTTTAAAACATTTTATTTTACTGGCATTTACAAGCGACATTTGTAACACTGCAAATATCATAACTAATAACACTGCAAATATCATAACTAATAACACTGCAAATAACATAACTAATAACACTGCAAATATCATAACTAATAACACTGCAAATAACAACGAAAATACAGTTTATTAGGTTCATTTCATATTTATATGATATTTAGCCAAACAACAAAAAATAATTTTGAAACTAAACTACTCTCGGTATGGTTGACCTTTACAACACCTGCACTACAGGGGGGCTGTACACGTTAAATAATTTATTTTCGAACACCTCTCATCTTTAAATAATATCACGTACACGTTATGAAGTTGTCAGATGTATCTAGAGTTAATCCGATGTTCAAACAAAGGTGTAAATTTTACGTTAAAGGTGACGAGTCCCGTGTTTTATAGGTTTATACATCTTACACCTGACCCATAAAAAAAAACATCCTCCCCCCCCCACCGAGAAATTTGGAAGGCGCATGTGTCCTTCTCTGTCACCTCAGTGAATTGTTGGTCGAGCATCATTTGTGTAAAACAATTCGCGAGCAGCCACTCCCTTCTGTTTTTATATCAAACTCATTAAATATTAGTCAAGTACCAGCTGTATGTTGTTACAATAAGAATGGGATGGTAGGTAATGGATAACATTTACAAATATGATTTGGTTACATATACATCACTCCTTCTACACCCTCTCCCAGTGGCACAACGGTAAACTTGAAGGCTCATAATATAAGAATGGGATGGTAGGTAATGGATAACATTTACAAATATGATTTGGTTACATATACATCACTCCTTCTACACCCTCCCCCTCTCCCAGTGGCACAACGGTAAACTTGAAGGCTCATAATATAAGAATGGGATGGTAGGTAATGGATAACATTTACAAATATGATT